TCCCACTGCCTGAGGATGGAGACACAGAACTCTCAGCTACCGCTCCGCTGCCTGTCTGCATGTCACCTTTCTCCCTGCCCTGTTGACAATGGTCTAAACCTTGCAAACTGTCGGCAAGCCTCAGTAAAATGCTTCCTTTTATAATTATCATGGTCATGGTGTCTCTTCACAGCGACAGAACATTGACAAAAACAGTAGGTAAGAAATCCAGCACAGTGTGGTTCCACTGAATGCTCTGTTTAGAGTTTCCTAAGGCTAAATACAATTCAGAAGTCAATGTGATGCTGGAATGAATTTCCCACAGATTAGGAGTGAGAGCCCATTCCTTGCCACTTCCTGCTGATGGCTACTTATATGTCTCAACCTTCCCTATTGTTTTGGCTCAATCTTTGGATGCATCCCTGGCATTAAAGATTTCTGCTTTTAAGGGTTTCTATGATTAGAGTCACTTATTATCATTCAGTACCTCTCAAATAATAGCCAAATGAAATCTCTGTACATATCCTTACACATTACTATTTCCTGTTTGTTTGTTTAAAAAAATAAAGATAGTTTATTCTAAGGTCGAATATGAGTGACCATAGCCTGGAGTCACAAACTTAAATTGCTCCAGATTTCATGGAAGTTGTTTCTTGAAATGCTCACCATAACAGAACAAAGCAAGTCAGAAATCAAGACATTTTTTAAAAACTGGGTGGAAATATCAGAGAAGCAGGTTATAGCCAGGTAGAGAAATCTCAGGAGGCTTCAGAGACTACCCGACAGCATTCTAAGTTGGCACTTTGATTGGTCCAGAAGAGAGTTTTGTTAGGTTAATACAGTCTGAGAAATTACATCTGTTTATCAGAATGCCCCCAGAGGCAAGAAAGAAATAGCTTTTTAGGGACTAAAGATAGCTCCAAAACATAGTAGCTGGGCTCCAAACCTGCAGCAGTCCAGCCTCTCCAAAGTCATGGACATTTTAATCAGCCAATGTAGTGAGCTGGTGTTCGAGGTTACAGGAGGGAGGGGGGGCTAAACTTCACCAACCAAGGGAAGGATTAAGGATGTAAATGAAGACAAAGACAGTGGCTCATTCTTACAAGGAGAAAGGCGTTTACTTTAACAAGAGTGGAGCCTTGCTGGGCGTTGGTGGCACACACCTTTAATCCCAGCACTCGGGAGGCAGAGGCAGGCGGATCTCTGTGAGTTCGAGACCAGCCTGGACTACCAAGGGAGTTCCAGAACAGCCTCCAAAAGCCACAGAGAAACCCTGTCTCGAAAAACCAAAAAAAAAGAGTGGAGCCTTATACACCAATGGCAGGCATGGTGGAAAACCACCAAGGTCAGAAGCATTCCCAGGGCCCTCCGGCAAAGGGTGGGCCAAAAACAAAAAACAAAAAACAAAAAACGGGAATTAGCATTTAGACAATAAGGATGGACAGAAAACAGGAACTTGCATGCAGGCCTTACTGGGATGAGGGGACAGAGGTGTTTTGCTAGAAGCTCCTAGTCACAAGCTGGTCAATAAACCCCCACGGGGAAGGGTGCAACAAGCCAATCAGCCTTTGTAGACACAGCTTCCTTCCAGAAATTCTTGTTCACAGTATAATTCCATCTGCATAAATGCTATTGACTATGTATTTATGTATGTATGTATTTTACTGCACTTTCTCTCTTCTGGGGTATAACTGCAGAGTATTGGACTTAGTTTGAAAGTCTACATCAAAACATCACTCTTAAATCCTTCGCTCCTTTGAATATATTCAGATTGTTCTGACATCACTTCCCTTTGGCTGTTGAATGCCCTTTGCCGTTTCTTGTGGTGTTGGAAGCGATCTCTCTCAGCTTCTCTTTGTCTGAAGGCGTCTTTATTTTCAAAGCTGCACTGTGAAAATGAAGAATTTTAGGAGTCTGGCACTGTTTCCATCTCTGGAAGCCTTTATTGCATGTGGGTTTTTTTGGGGTGGAGGGGGCTGCATGGTTTCCAATGAGAAACCAATATCAGTTCTCAGCTCCTCAAATACGGCTCTTCTCAGTCTACTTGATTCTTGTCTTTTCCTGTTCTTGTGCATTTGAGAGTCCATTGGTTCTGCGGTGCTTTTCTCTAGTTTCAGCTTTGCTGAGCTTCTTGGATATGCTTGATACTTTCTATCAAATTCAGAAGTTTCTTTGCACCAGGACTGAAGTCAAGCATATTAGTTTGGAGGCTGTCAAGCCTGAAATCACTAAGACGCTGTTTTGTTCCCCCATGTTTCCTCTCTGCCTTCTTTTCTTTCTGAGCACAGGTCTTTTCTTCTGCTCCCTCTAATCACCTTTTAAACATGCCCCAGTAAAGACTTCATTTCAGAAATATTCTTTGCGATGACAGGAACCCTCCTTTTCATTCTCAAACAATAAGGGTTGTATTTGTAAGTTTTGCATCACTGTAATAAAAGCACCTCACAGGAAACAACTTAAGGCAGCAAAGGTTTATTTGGTCTCATGACTTCAGAAATATTTCAGTTTATCCCGTGGAGCAGGGGAGGCAGTGCCGCTCTTGGCAGTTGGTGTAAGCTAAGTGGCAGTGGGGTTTCACATACCGGTGGACCAGGAATCAGAGGGCAGCCAGCCTGAGAGACCAGGCTAATGATTTTCAAAGGTATACTCCCAGTAATCCATTTCTACCAGCTACAGAAGTTTTTCCTGTCCCTAAAACAGTACCACTCATGGAGAGCACGTCTTAGACTTAGGCTATAACAGGTATCAATCCATTGAGGGTATATTAACAATCCTCAGTATATAAAGTGGCATAAGCCTTAGGAAAGCTGTTTTGTTATTTGTCTTTGAAAGTGAAACACACAGCAGAATGAGGATGCAGCTTACTGGTACAGAGCTTATGTAACTCTCCTGGATGTGATCCCCACACCCACATACACCCTGACACAAAATAAGCCTATGTTCACTGTATCGTCTATCAATTCCACCCAAGGGAACATATAGGTAAGATGGATCCACTGTTCTTGAAAACTGATCAGTCAGAGAGACTTGATGTAACTCATCAATGCCTGAAAAAAGTAATAGGTGTGCGTATTTCTTAAGTGAAGTAGATGAATCAGCAACACTGACTTCATGTGACATTATTACAAATGCAGAATTTCTGGTCCTATCCTAAATTCCCTAAATCAGTACCTACACCTGAGCAGACCCCCTTATATGTGGATTTAAGATGGTAAAGGGTTTTCCATGCCAGTGTGAGGGCCAGAGTTCAAATGCCCAGAACCCAAATAAAGCCAGAGGTAGTAGGTAGTCTGTAATCCCAGCACAGCTATGGTAACTTGGGATCCAGACACCCATTGAACAGCTAGCCTTGACTACACAGCTACGAACAACAAAGACCCTTTCTCAAACAAGATAAAAACAAAACAAAACAAAAACGAGGACAGACATCTGAAGCTGTCCTCTGACCTCCACACACAGGCCAGGTATGAACATGACACACACACACACACACACACACACACACACACACACACGTTTTGAAAATCACTATTATGGCCAGGTGGTGGTGGCACACACCTTTAATTCCAGCATTCAAGAGGCAGAGGCAGGCTGATCTCTGAGTATGAGGCCAACTTGGTCTAAGAGTGAGTTCCAGTAGGACAGGCTCCAAAGCTATGGAGAAATCCTGCTTGAAAAGAAAAACCAAAAGACAAACACAAAAATCATTTTTTATGGAATAGATGAGTAGAATCCAGATTCAAGATATTTTAGCAACTAGCACACCTCAAATTTTATGGGGATGACATGTGTCACAGTACGTGAATGTGGATTCATAGGACAGCTTTGTGGATACAGTTTCCTCCTTCCACCAGGAATGAAACTCGGGTTGGCAGGCTTGCCATAACAAACAAACATTTTAAGGGCTGAGGCACCTCCAACCCACGGAGCTGGGGGTCTTGTTCAGCCGCAGGAACTAACTTAGGGAATTTGGGATAGGACTGGAGATTCTACATTTATAACAATGTCACAGTAAGTCAGTGTCCCGGAGTCATCAATTACACTTCGGTAGCATGGGCACAGATGCTTTTCTGAGACGTGGATTAGTGGTTTTACTTTAGCAGCCTTGAGTTCAAGCTCCAGTTTTCGTTTCTAAGGAACTACGATAAGAGTTTAGTCACCGCTAAACTGCAAAATGAGAGCTGAGTTTCCTGTTTCTCTTCTGTGGGCTGTTGAGAAAGACTCTTATAGAAACGTAACTGAAAGAGACACGTAGACTTTTGCTCTAGGGATGGTTTAAAGAACCAAGCAGATGATGGAAGTGAATTTACATATTAACTAGAGAAAGAAAGTTTAGGAAGGGCGGGCACAAAAACAAGAGGCGGGACCTCGGGAAATGTCCTCGTGGATGCGCATGGGATGTACCATATTGCGGAGAGGGGCGCCTCATCCAGACAATCTGAAAGAAAAGCAGCTTTGTTTCTAGGGTTATACCTGAATCCCGATGCCTGAATTATCAACTTCTATCTCTTTCGGTAAGCCAACCAACGTAAGACAGTTCAGGGACAGCAAGTGGTCCACCTTCCTGGTTTGGAAGCCATCCACTCCCCACGCGGGTGTGTGTGTGCCTTTCTCCCCCACCCCACCCCACCCCACCCCACCCCATCCCCGTGCTCCCCGTGGGCAGGCTCCCGCAAGCCGCGCGTGGCTGGAGTTTGCAGGGGCTGGAGGGAGGCGGGTCGGACGGGTCCATGCGCGCCCCGCGGAGGGGCGGCGCGCGCTGCGCGCTGCCGGGGACCCGGGTGCGAGCGGGGGTGGGGGAGGAGGGGAGCTGTGCCAGCGCGGGTGGCGGGAGGCGGTCGCCGTCCTCGCGGCGGGGCGGGCACGTGGGGGCCCCGGGACTGTGCGCTGGCCCCGCCGCTCTCCCCGTGGGCGGCTCGGGGTGGCGCAGGCGGCCGGGGCGGGGCGGAGCGCTGTGCCGTCTGCGCTGCGGCGGCGGCGGAAACAATAGTGCGGATCTTGGCGCGCGGACGGCGGCCCGCGGAGCCGGACGGTAAAGCTCCTCTCCGAGCCGCTTCGGCGCGCAGGGCCGGTGTCGGGACGGACGGACGGACGAGAGGACTGTGTGCCTCGGGACCCGGATCCCACCCCGCACCGGCCACCCACGACCCTCGAGTGGCGCCCCCGGGACTCTCCGATCCGTGGCTGCCTGGCCCTCCGACGTGACCCATCCCTTCCCGGGTGTCCGCGTCCCCCCACGTGCGTCTTCCTGCGGCGGAGCCGGGAGCGGGGTAACCGAGTTAGCGGAACGCCTCCAGGCGCCCGCCGAGAAGTTGGCAAAGCCGCGTCCCAGCGGCTCCTCCTGGCCGCCCAGACCGACCTGAAGTTGGTTGACAGACCGAGTGTCTGTGCGGGAGCGACCCCGGTGGGCGGGTGTCCCCTATGGACAGCCTTTTCCCGTCCCTGTGCTTTTCACGGTGAAAGTGGGATCCTGTACTCCAAGCATGGCGATGCTTGCCCGGCGGGGCTGTTGCAAACGCCACCTTGATGGTTTTTCTGTGGGTACTGCAGGCCTTAAGCAAGTTCTCGCCGTGGTGTAACTTGCTTTTTCTCCTTCCTCACAGGGGCACTATGAACGAAGAGGAGCAGTTTGTAAACATTGACTTGAACGATGACAACATTTGCAGTGTTTGTAAACTGGGAACAGACAAAGAAACACTCTCCTTCTGCCACATTTGTTTTGAGCTAAACCTCGAGGGTAAGGACGCTGTGGTTTTTAACTGCATGCCATGAACTTTGTACAACTTTGGCTCAAATGTTTGAAGGTAAAACTGAAATTGCTTGGATGCCCGGAGATTGGGTTAAGTGATGATCCGGCTGGTCTTCTGGAAATGAAGCCAGAGTTTATAAACACAGTTATAAACTGAGGGAAATGTTTGTCCTTAAAACATCGTTAACCTCATTTTCGCCAAGATGAAATGAAGTGCAGGTATTGTCTGGTCAACATGAGATTTTTTTTTAGCACACGTGTCTCCCTTGTATTAAGAATCAACATGACCGTTTACACAGGCAGATGTAATTTTATTCCTTTCTTCCCAAACTTAGTCACTATTTTCCCATCTTGTGGAAAGCTTCCAAAATTTGAAGTAAAATCCATTACTTTTAGTCATTTTTAAAAACCAAAAGGACTTTAAATTTTTTCTTGATAGTAGTATTACTGTGCGAAGTTGGAAAAGAAACTCTTCAAAAAGTAAAATAAACCTTGTGCTGAAGGTTAGGTTGGTGCATAGTTATCTGGGCCCTGGATACCAGTAACTTGTTTACAGGAAACGTGGGATTTAACCTTAACTTCTCACATAGTCATAGTGAAACCCTGAATCTTTTCAGGTATGTCTGAATCTCACGGAAAGGAAATCTGAAAATTCCCAAAAACATAAAACTTGCTATTTGAATTTTGAGGTTTTAATGTGTCAGTGGAGAAAACTATACTAGATATTTTCAAATATCTGGATGTTTGAAGTTTCAGTTTGAAAATAGCATTTCATTTTGTCATTGCCTGTGTATTTAGAGATTTTCATGATCTTTTATTTATATATTTTTTGGTAAACATGCACAGGTGACGTGAACACACACACATACACACACACACGATGTGATTATAGACTTTGACGTTCCTGTTAGGACTTGTTCCTTGGAATGCTGTAGCTTCCAAATAGTGTGTCGTGGAGCACCGTAGAGCTGTGGCCTAAGTAGAATGCCTGTTGCCTTGGCTTCAGTAAATGTGGTGATTACAAGTTTACATTTTACAAGGGCAGAGGCATCAGAAATGGTCAGCTGCCGCCTCTGTGTTTTCCGTGGCAGAAACTGAGGTCTGGCTGGTGGGCTGCTCCAGGTTGCCGTAGCGGTGACAGCAAGCTGTTGTTGTCTGCCAGGCAAATGTGTGCTGGGATCACAGCTGTGCCAAGCATTGTACTAAGCGTCTTACTGGATTATCTTCCTTCAAAATAGCTCTGGGATGCCGGCTATTATTACTCATTTTGAATGTGATGGAATGGAACCCGAGAGACCGAAGCAATGCACTTTGAAGTCACATAGCTAGTAATTGATAGTCCTGGGCTTTGAAGCTTGGCCATCTGGTTCTCCTGTATGTGACCTTAATTCCATTGATCTACTGTCAATAGGTAGTTAATTGTAGAATGGATGCTAGAAATCTTTCCTGCTGAATCCTAATTGGTTTTGGTTCTGCTAGCTTTCCCTGACTGGTGCTTCCTGATAAGTAAATGACTATGCCATGATAAAATTTTATTAGAGACTCATAGTCATAATTGCTTTTCTAGCCCTAATGAATATACCTTTTTAACTAATGGTTTAGCTCTTGATGGGTGAGTGTGGCAGTATCCTGTTTTTGAAATACTCATTGTCTCAGTCCAAAAGACAGAAACAGAAACAGTTCTCGATCTGGGTTAGAACTGTTTCATCTTCTCTGTGTATTAGAGTTAAAATTCTTCCCAGTTTATCTGCAGTGTTAGTTCCTTGTTCCCAAATATATTTGAGTTTTTACTGCACTGATGAGGTACCTTTTGCAAACGTGTTTAGTATTGTTATTGTTGTAGAAAAATGGAGTAAGATTTCCACAAATGTCAGTCTTTAAATCAGTGTCCAGGTTTTAAATAATAATAATAGTAGTAGTAGTAGTAATGGAGGGCTGGCAAGATGGTTTACTATGGGAGAAGACTTGCTGCCTGGCTGAGGGTCTGAGTTCAATTCCTGGGTCCACCTGGTGGAAGGAAAGAACCCAGTTCTTCAGTGTGTCCTCTGATCTCCATGTTTGAGTTGTAGCATGCACATAAACACACACACACACACACACATTTTTTAAAAAGATGAGTAGGAAGAGTGATAGTTGCATATCAGAAAGTGTGTAGGTGATAGTCTTCATCTTTGTTAGTGGAATTATTAGTTTTTCTCTCCACAACTGGAATGCAAGAGGGACTTTACTAAGATGTTCACCTCTGCTAACTCAGTGTAGTTTTCTCTGCAGTGTGGTAATATCGCTGTTGCTTAATTTCTTTAAAAAAAAAAAAAAAACCTTTCCTCTAGGGCATTTCGCTTTTTTTCCCTCCTACTGAGAGCCCTAGTAAAATGAAAGTGTCTTGAGGATCATGGCAGTTGGACTAGTTTTTAGTTCAACATTCATAAATAAAAATGGCATTTTATATACTTTGGATTGTTTACATCAACTGAACACCAGTCTAATAATGGGCCTCTTGTTTAAAAACTGTGTGCATGCATGTGCTTCCAGAACAAAGACAAAGGAAGAAAGGGAATTGACAACAAGACAGTCTGATCTTATTGGAAGGGCTTTGTAGTCTAGGCAGGGCACTGAGTTGTCTTTTTTCTGGGGTTTCATAGTAGTTAAAAGGAAAGAGGGTACTAAGTAATTTTATGTTTCTAAGGCATAGTCCTATTCCTCAAAAAACCTAAAAATGTGTTTCAGGGCTTCAGTCATTAACTATTCATGCCTAGAACTCACCATTAAGATGGCTTGGGCCCTTGTAAGATAAGGACACAGATGATACAGATACACAGATGGCTGTGGCCCAGTTTTGGTCTAAGGTGCTCTAAGATTTTTTTTTTGTTGTTTTGGTTTTGGTTTTTTGAGACAGGGTTTCTCTGTATTGTTTTGGAGGCTGGCCAGAACTCGCTCTGTAGACCAGACTGGCCTCAACTCACAGAGATCCGCCTGCCTCTGCCTCCCTAGTGCTGGGATTAAAGGTGTGCACCACCAATGCCCGGCTGTGCGCCCCAAGATTTTACACACAGTGTTAGTAATCAAGTACACTCATAGACATCTAGTTTATTGTGGTAAATTCTCTAAACCTACTTCATAACCCAATCACCACCATTCCCTAAACGGAAGCCAGAGTGTTAGGAGCATGGAATGGGAAAAACTGTAATATATCAAAGGCAGTACCAGTCCTGGGACATGATCCAGGGAGGCGGTAGCTACTCCGAACTCTCTGGCTTCCCAGTCAAGTAACTTAAGCTTTCCTTCCTGTAGGGAACAACCCTTAGATAAAACTAAACCAGTTCCTGTTACACCGACAGTTTCAGTGCTGTTGAAGGCCACGGGGCCCTCCAGAACTGGAGTTTGCTAGCTGATAGGTGAGCGTTATGTGTCTGGCTTCTGTGTAGTGTATGTCGTCTGTCTTCCCTGATTTCTTGTCCTTTCATGGGAACGGAGGTTAATTCAGCTCCTGAATCTTTCCCAGCAAGAAAAACCTGTGTTTTGCCTTAGTGAAGTACAGATGAGCCCAGTGCCGACCTTTCCTGTCCCTCCATCCTTTGTTTTAAACCATAACTTTGTTCATCACTAGTTGGTGTTAAATCCTTGCTTCTGCTTGAGAGCCGGCAGTGGCTGTTTATTGTTTAAGGTCCTCTTTCTCCACTCCCTGCTCTGAATGCCAGCATCTCTCCACTCAAGCAGACTGACCACTGGTAGAGGCCAGGAGGAAGCAGCGAACTCAGCCTATCATCAGCCGGTTCCTCGCGCTTCCCACCCCATGGTGACGACACTACATATTAACTAAAAATGGTGGGGAGATGCTCAGCCCTCAAGAGTGCTTGCTGCTCTCACGGGGGGGGGGGGCGGTTTGGGTTCCCAGCACCCACAGGGTGGCTGCCAGCCATCTGTCATTCCACTTGTGAAAGAGCTGATGTCATCTTCTGTGGTCACCAGGTACATATGATACACACACAGACTTGCATGCAAAAATCCATACCCACAAAATCAATCAGTCAATCTTTAGAAGATAAAAGGAAATAAAGATGCCACTCTTAGTTAACCTGAGTGGAAATCCTAGTGCTGTTTCTGCACTTGCAGTGCTCCTTCCTCTCAACTGCTCTTGTTAGCACCGGAAGGGACGGAGTGCTTTGGAAATGATTTTTTTTAGTAGCAGACCCCGAGGCATAAGAGACGGAAATGGAAAGTGGATTTCACTGGTCATGAGCCGAAATTATAGACTGTTTCCAAAGAAAAGTAGCTGAAAGCAAACTGGGCATCTGGTAAAGGTTTGTCTTAACCAAACGCTACGTGGCAGGAGCTAGGCTCAGATTCTTACGCCTGACCTACTTTTAGTAGCCTATTTTCGTGACTTAAAACTTTTCTCCTTAACTTACTAGTCTCAGTAACTTAAAAGTCTGGGTGGAGTTTGAAGTTTGGGTCACCCACAAATGTTTGTCGTGAGGGCTTATTTGTTGAGATTTGGTTTGGTTACTTGTAACAGGAAAGGACGTTGAAATGTAGTAGTGAAATAAAGTGGAATGGGTAGTACATTTGTCGTATCAAAAGTGGGGGCCAGGAAGATGGCTCGGTCAGTAAAATGCTTGCTGTATAAACATGAGAAATGTTGAACCCTATCTGCTGTTCGAGTGAGAACTAGGTTTGGTGGCATGCACCTTAGTCCTAGAGCTGGAGAAGCAGAGCCATGAGAATCCCGGGTTTCACTGATCAGCCAGTCCAGCTGGTCCATGAGTTAGTTCCACACTCAGTGAAAGGCCCCGTCTCTATAATCAGGTAGAGTGGTTGCCCTCGACGCTACCTTGCACCTGTGTGCTCTGACATGGACATGCACATGCCCAAAAGGAAGTTGAGGTCGGAACCCCGGAGTTGGTATCTCCACTCCAGGAACGGAAAGCCCCAAGCCTTGGGGTATGTCTGTTTCATTTTCCGTAACAAGTAGTTTCCATCTTCAGGCT